CTAATCCCTCCCCCCTCCTAATGGCATCTCATTTTCAGCCGTGGACTGCTGTAGCGGTAACGGTAAGCATTACTTATATAATCTTAACTAGCTGTTCCCCGCGACTTCGTTCGCGTGAAATTTATTACGATTAGAAATTTTTGCGAATGACCGCAATTCTTTTTCTAAAATAAAAATAAAACTAAGTTACTCCTTATAACATCAGCTATCTGCCAGTAAAAGTCCTGACAAAGTTGGTTCAGCCATTTCGGAGATTAGCCGGAACAAACAAAAAAACAGATACAAAAATTTTAAAAAATTGTGTTTTGTTTTACAATATTTTATACAGCTGTGCCCCGCGGTTTCACCCGCGTATATCCGTGTCTGCGCTGCGCGACATGACACCTCGCTCATTTAGTTCAATCATTTTAGCTAAAAAATTGGCAAAATTAATGTAAAAATTATCGGCATATGTACGTTATACAGCAAAGTTAAATTTTATCCACTCTCTCTTTCCCCCTCCCGGATGAACGCCCCAGAAAGTGCCCCAAAACGGGTTTTTCTTTCAGTTTTAAGGATAACTACATACATGGTACATGAAAAGTATGCAGGTACGAAATGATCCTTGATTCTATCAACCTTTTATGCATACGAAAGCGATATCATTTATAGTTTTTGCGCAATCTGCCAGAAAATATGAACATTTCTTATCTTTAATCGATTTTTTTGCTCAAAGTTTAGGCTATTATTTTTTGCTAAAAATTTTTTAGGTTTATAAAAACTTTACTGCCAAAATATGTATGACTAAAGTTACTCTTTCATTATGATAAAACTATTTATTTGAATAAGAATTAATACTACGGTACGACTATAACCAACTTTTGTGTCGACCGGTGATCTAATTAAATTTTAGAACACAAAAGCTACTATTGTGACTTAGTTATGATAGTTAGATATATTCCTTACGCGGACTTTTTTGTAGGTAATAATGAGTACTTTAATCATGTAGCACATAATTTTTATGTTACATAATAGTTTCCGCAGCGTATGCGATAATAAGGATTTTTCGGCGTTACTATTGCATAATTTAACATGAAAAAGTAGTTATTTTGACATAACTGCAATAGTTAGGCATATAGTATCGCGGACTTTTTTGTAGATATTGATATCTTCTATAAAACTGTAGTACATCACTTTGCTCTATTGTCAATAGTTTCCGCAGCGTATGCGATATAAGGATTTTTTTGGTTTTTTTTCACGCCGTTGGTTACATTAACGAAGTTTTCATACGGATCCCAAATTTTTTGAATATATACTATAGCCTATGTTCATCAGGGATAATGTAGGATTCGAATGGTGAAAGAATTTTTCAAATCGGTCCAGTAGTTTTGGAGCCTATTCAATTCAAACAAACAAACAAACAAATCTTTCCTCTTTATAATATTAGTGTAGATTATAATATTAGTGTAGATACACAAGTAAAACATGAAAATTTGCCACATGGTGGTAGTATTAGAGTTAATCATTTCGTCTCCGTGGGTGGCGTAGATGGCTACTGAATGAATAAATTAAACAAAAGGTGGGCAGCGTCATCCGTTCTTGCAAAGCATTAAGGATAATCAGACTGCCAAACTCGGATAATTTAGGCAATTATTGCAATTGAATAACTATGAAAATGTCGATGGTTTGTGCAGGGTTTGTTTCGAATCTACTTAAAAAAATGAAATTATAACGTAAATATCAGATTATGAACGGTACAGTATTGATCATCAACAATCATTGTTTACAAATCCTTCTTACTTGTTAATTTCTTACTATAGTGCAGAAGGAATCGGCGCATTAGTACCGAAAACTATTCCATCTCAATTTTGTAATGCGATTTCTTTCAAATTGTCCTACTGATGATATAAATGCATGTTGCCATGGGGCTACTCGATGCTATATTGTTTAAATCGATTTTTTTTTCAATTGCAAGGAATTGTTATTTTCAAACGGGATAATTTTTTTATATTCCCTGATGAAATAAATGAAAAAGGTCCTATGACTTTTTACAATAAAGTTAATATTTTCATAGATTTTTGAAGAATCGAGTAGTTCAGAAAACACAATATACATAGTATGTTGGGGAGTTGGATATGAAATATGAATTAAAAAAAAACTTTACAAATCCATTTTGCATTTTACATGTTTTAAATTTTTATGTATAGGATTTCAAATAAATTAGAAAATAGATTTTGATAAAAAATATTTCAAATGCAAAACAATAATAGGTATATTTTACATATTGCATTTTGTATTTGCATTTTAAATAAGTAGTTCAAACATTAACACAACTCTGCCTATTATCTATTATGTCATGTATAAACGCATTCTGATCGTGAAATGTCACAATAGGTCATCAACAACCATTGTTTCGGAATATTTCTACTGATAAATGATTATTTTTTATTTCATTGTGTTTTAATATTAACCATTTACTAACTAATATGCCATATTACGTCAGTGTAAATGCATGCGTGCTCGTGAGCAAACAAGCTGATAACTGCTATGCTAGTGGAATATAAATATTCTTTAAAATATTCTGACAGCGTAACAAGTCGACATAACGGGTTGGTAATAACACTGTAATTAAATGAGACATACTATAATTTACTACTCGATATTGAGTAGTAAATGTCGCGTATTAAATTGTCACCTTGTTTGATTTTAAAGTTTACTTTATTACTTAAAGGCCTAAATTCCTTTAAAGGCTGGCATCGCACCTGCAATTCCCCTGGCGTTGCAGTTGTTCATGGGCGGTGGTAGACCCTTAACATCAGGTGAGCCGTAAGCTCGTTTGTACCCTCCTATTTAAAAGAAAATTACTCTCTTGTGGTCGAACCATTTCAAACAATTTTGATCCATGTTCTTATTTCCTCCTCCTTTCATGGCTTCTTTGGACATCTATTCCCGCGATCTCTGTTCCTCCCACGATTTATTACAGTTTACTCCTACCGTTCTAGGTTTATGACAACTCTTTTTACTTCCTTCTCCCTCTGAAATAAGTTGTCTGTTGATCAACGATGGAAACTATACTTACGAACACTTCCGTAGCCAATTATATTGTTTTATATAATATGATTTAATGAATTCATATTATTTAATAGTGCTTCTTAAATTTTAATTTAACTTCCCTAAAACTCACGCTTTTACACGAGGTAAACTGGTAGAGAATGCCATAATAACATTAAGCTTGCTCTTTGTGTACAAAACTTCGGTACTATAAAGAATAAACAAATAAAATATATGCAAGATTTATTTATTCCCTTAATTTATATAGATAGTTTAAAGATTCCCTGTTGAATATTTTTAAATTATCGCAATTTCGAACAGATTTTTTTGAATTTAATGGGTAAATGCGTTTTATTTTATTTTTAGTGAAGGAAATTTCCTTAGGGTGTTTTTTTGTCTTATAGTAAACCAATAATTATATTAATATTAAAAATATATTAAAATTGCAATAACAATTTCAGTAGCACCGGTACTGATGCTTGAATTCGACCTATCACTTGCAATGAAATTTAAGCCGAGTGCCCTCTGAGATACAACGGCTCAATATGAAATGTCAATTAAATTTTATTCACGCTTCGCTCGCCGATTACATTACGATCGCTCGTAATGTTTTGTCCGTTTGTCCGACACTAACCGCCCGCAACAGTTGCACGTGCTGACATAATAGCTGGCGCGCACGTATAACGTGCGCACGCTGGTTGTTTGCGCACGCACATCGAATGCCGATCAAATAGTAAACTGCATGCGGACCATAGTCGGACTTTGTTATATTGTTCCGTATACTTTACTTTTTATAGAATAAGAGTGACGATCAAGCACACAGTCTACTTGATGGTAAGTGGATGCTATGGCCCTTATAAATTTACATATATCCTCGATTAAGTATCAAAATGCGGAAGCGTTGTCACCATTAAGAACTAAGACAAATCCCTCGTTGTCAGTAAAAAGGGTCTCCTTTCTTTACACTCACTGCTACTGAGAAGTCAGAAAAACCCATTCATTGATTTTGGCCCGATCCGGGATTCGAAACTGGGACGTAATGATCAGTACCTAATCGTATTTACGACTATTAAACAACAAGGCAGGTAATGCAAGCATAATATAGTATATATATATATATATATATATATATATATATATATATATATATATATATATATATATATATATATATATATATATAGTATACATAATATAGCTGCAACAAAGCTCTATCTCGTGGTGACATTGGAATGTATCTGAAAAGTAGCTTATGTATTTGTTACGTATATAATAAGGGCTTGTGTCTACTATAAAATTATTGGGTTTAGATCTGCAGAAGTCAATATATGTCAAAAAATCAAGTTAGGTTTTTGAAACTAGATGTACCTATCTATTTGTTGTTCTTGAAATAAATAAGGTATTTATCGCATGCATTAATTTAATGTCAAATTAGAAATTTCTGTATTGTGAAGGCGCTAGCTATATACGAGTGTACATACGTGAATTAGGTACACTATACAAGTATAAATCTATACATATATATGCAATATATATATATATATATATATATATATATATATATATATATATATATATATATATATATGCAATATAAGCAAAATGCCACTGACTGACTCATTACGAGATTTCTAAAACTATACACCCGATTGACTCGAAATTTAGTATAGTTACTCATTTCGCAATATAGACGCTCATTAAGAACGGATTTTTCGATAGTCCCGTAAAAAAAACTCTTGATATTTTAAATGTAAGATCCGCAATAATATTATCGTGCGCCCAGCGAAGCTAGCGGGTATCATCTAGTACATATATAAATGCAAAAACAATGACGTGTAAGATTGTCGTGCACCGCGACGGTAAGGCAAAGCCTTTTTACATAAATCAATAACATTACCTGAGCTTTCTCGTATAGTATTTAATTTGAAATTTTATATTTGAAATTTTAAAGTGTTCTTCTCTGTTCACAGGGGTGCAGAGTTGGGAGACGTTACCTTGCTTCGACGAATGCCCAATGTGGAGGTATTAGCGCTAAGGTAAGCAAACATTTTTACGTTCGAATCTAAATATAATATTCTAAATTGGAATGTAAAGTCGATATTTCATGTTCTACGATTCTACACAGCCTATTATACTTCATGGGCTCTGGTACAGAGAAAAGGGAAGCTTCGAGAAGAATAAAGCTTCTTTTCTTTTTTATAGAATAAGGGTGTCAAACGAGTTCACAGTCCACCTGATGGTAAGTGGATGCTGTGGCCAATATACATCTACATTTAACCTTGATTAAGAATCAAGATGTAGATGCGTTGTCAATCCTGAGGACTAAGATGAAATGTCTCGATACCAGTAAAACGGTTCTCTATACTCACCATACGAAACACAGCAGCATTAAGCTGCTATGTTACGCTGGTATTCCGTGAGAGCGTGGTCCTACCCTGGTCGAGCTGATCCATTCGTGCTACAACCATAATATATCCACAGCGTGGCTCTACCACGTATAAAGCCATCTCTGTTAGACTAAAGCTATCTCTTTTCTTAGAGAGTTTTGAGCAGGGAAAACTTTACGCTGTCTAATGTGTGTTGGCATTACCATGGTTTCACATGTCTTCGAAATATTGTTTCGACGTTTCTCAGACATTCATCATTGCTGTGCACGTGCACACTTTAAATTACAGTTAACAATTACATTTATGCTAGAAGCGGTCGAACTCGTGAGGGTCCGCGACATTAAAATCAACGGCGAGCGCTTATTTTCGAGCTGCCACGATTGGTATTTATTTAACTTGGCATTATATTTGGGGTATTTGTGCAATTTATCATATATAGGCAGCGTAAGAGAGTCAACTAAAAAGCGTCTTTCTGATAACAACTCAAAAAAATGAAAAATCGCAGTTGGCAACCCGGATCGAAGCGTCAAATAATCTTTGACAACATCGACAACTTTGCCAAATAATCTCTCTATAAGGTTGTCTATAGGGGGAGGTCTATTTTTTTTTCTTTTTTTTTTAAACTGAAGTGACAAACGACAAGCGAACTTACAGTCTACCTGATGGTAAGTGGCTATTGCAGCTCATGAACACCTGCAATCAGCTTTAAGCAAAGAAGGCTCTACAGGAACGTCGTCATCTCTGAGGACTGTCTCCACAGTCTTTAATCTTACGAGCCTTTAATACCATTCAGGCCGGAACATAGCATAGTTGTACTGCAGGTTGGCGGCGGTAATAAAATTTTTGCAGTGAGCTTTTGATGGGATGTAATGAATGAAAAGAATGAGTCATAATCATAAGGCGGAGTAACTAAAGACCAGATTAGTTTCCGTGATTTTTTACTGGTTTTAATGACAATTATCGATTCTAAAGCACTTGACCGCACGGGTAATGACAATGACCATATAGCTATTAAAGGTAGAATGAATATGAACAAGATCGATCGCACGACTTCTATTCAAAGCTATAAAATTTGCATAGATAAATAATAGGCTAATAGCGTCTATTTCGTTGTTATAAATCTCTTTTTTTCTTCTTCTGAGAATATTAGTTATACTAAGTGAGTGTATGCGTGTTTGCTGGCGGTCCACGTGATGGTAAGTGGTATTTGTAGTATGTGAAAATCTGCAACTAACTTGGAAGTACGATGGTCTAGACGCGTTGTTACCATGGTAAGGTTAATTACCTCACAAACTATAATTATAACTACTTTCTTTAGATTTTAAAATGGCGTTAAGTGAACTACTGCTTAGTGCCTGTTTCTTATAGTATAGAAGTAGTTATAGTAGTAGTTATAGAAGGAGCACTTCAACCAGTATTCGAATATCATTGATAATGTTCATACTGTAGAATAACATAATATATCAAAAATCATCAGAAACAACTTGTAGACAACTTTTAATGATGTGCTTCGTTACGACGTCTCTAAATTTGTCGACGTGATTTTCAGGGTAAGATACTTAAATGTGCAAGAATAAATTTGTTAAAAGAAACGTATAAAAATATTTTTAAAGGATGGAGTTCCATAAGTATAATACTATTATGAATCGAATACTTACGGCAACTTATTTGAAACAAATTTCTTAAGCGCCCTTGTGTACAAGCCAGACGTTTCTGCAAGAGGTTCACGAGGCAGGTCGTGACCCGTCTGCCGTCTAGATTGAGCCGGCGATGCCGCACTGCGGCTTATAGCAACACTGAAGGATATTCTGTAAATCCTTCATGAAAGAATGACTTTTGAATCACTGTAGTGTGAAAGCCTTTGTTCATGTGTTTTAGTTTTTTTTTACTTTCTATAAGCCAGTGCTTGACCACAATCCCACCTGGTGGTAAGTGGTGATGCAGCCTTAGCAGCCCAGCAGATAATCGCACTGTCTTAGCGTAACAAAAGCCTATTCACTCTTGCCTTGAAGATGCCCAGATAACTCCTAAAGCACATGAATCATTATGTTGTTAAAGGAGGTGACAGGGTATCATTATTTTAATGGAGTTCAGTGGTGAATCTTTGTGATTGTTTTATATTAATTCCACTTTTTTACAAACTGAACCTGAATTATAGAATGAGAAATTGTGTGATAAGAGAAAAGTTTGGTTTGCAAGATGATGTTGTGACCAGGATTAAGAAAGGAATGCTTCGGTGGTTTGGTCATGTGGAAAGAATGAATGAGGAAAGTGTGGCATGTGAGTGTAGAGAACCGGGGACTCTTTTTACTGGAAACGAAGTATTCCACTTTAGTCATTAGGGGTCTCAATGCATGTGCTTTTCCATTCATAATTGAGGATGCACACAGGAGCAGCGCGGCGGAGTAATTGCATCTGAACACTCTCAGATATGAAGATAGGTTTGTTACTTTGTTAACAGCTGTGGGAAGTAAATATGCTTTAACTTTACTGTTTATTTAAACTAAAATAAGTTACATTAATGATTCGAAAAAAATAATCGTTCGTTTTTTATATCCATGTCTTTTGTAAGTCTATGTTTGTTACTTAAGATCAAAATAAGTCAAGCTTTACTCAAAAGCTTTACTAGGAAACATTCACATTGAAGAAACATCATAAAGTTCCTTTCGAAATATCATAATAAAAGTGTTAGAGAGAGCGGTGAAAGGTACGAGTCATCTCTCAAGTCCAAAAGAGCCGAGTCAGTACCTCGCTCTAAGTAGCGGTGGGTTGACTAAGGCTTAGGCTATCCATACATTAAATTAAGCACGCTAGGTTTTTGCCATTGCAGAGAAGTTAAATCGTCACTAAAATCTGCCTCGTGTAAGTCACTAGTAGACACAGTAAAATGAAGTTACAGCCTATATCGTCCCACTCTCGGGCACAGGCCTCCCCTCGTTTCTGAGAGGGCTTTACGGTAAGGAAATGTCCACCGCGCTGCACCAATGCCTGTTAGCGAACTCCACTATGACCTTTATAGCTTTTCAAAAGTCCACAGCTTCACATAGGCCTAATAGATTGCCTGATATTCTGTGAGAGTGTGGTCCTTTCCCAGTAGAGCCGACTCATTTGTGCCTTAACCACAATATGGCTGTAGCATGAATCTACCGTACGTAAAAAATATAAATATATTATAGTCAACCAAATCTAAGAAATAACTTTTGACGTTTCACATAAGTCACTCCGCAGTAACTTTGCACAAGCGTATTCACACGATTTAAAATAACCTTTTACGTAAATACGAAGAAATATGAAGTTATTTATATTTCATTACAACGTGTATAGTTTTTTATCACTATTAAACAAAGCAAAACATTAAAAAATATCTATATCAACTTTACGTGACGTCGTTTCAATGATATGTCTCTATGTAACTTACCGTAGTGTTTGGATGATTAAAATTCATTATTATGCGAATAATCGGCAAAAATATTCAAATAATCGGTAAAAGTATTCAAATAATCGAATCAATAATTTTTTTAATGTATTATTTGTTTAGTTAAATTTTTATTTCTAAAATCCATTAAATTACATGAATCATGAATAACACAAGTTTATATTTTTTTACTTTGTCAACGTATATTTGTGTAGGCAAAAAAAATCATACACGCGCTAAAAATAACCACTTCGTAATTTCAATCACCCGCCATTTCGCAAGCTTACTGTGCGTAATTTTGTTATTTTGTGACTCGGCTTTAACTTTTTAAACTGTTTCTTCTATATTCTTTGAAGCATTTGCCCATGTCACAAAGGATGATTGGGCAAAAGTGGTAGAAAAAACAAAAAAAAATGATTATGGATGACTTTGAAAGAGACATTAATTTTGACTGCATTATTGAAAATCAAATATTAATTAATCTAAACAACGACAGCTCGACTAGCTGTACTGAAAGTGATTAAATAAATTTATTTTTAATCTAGTTTCAATCTTAAATTTTTATAACTGTGCCTGTAGAAATAAGCAGTAACAACAAATACGAAGAAACTAATAAATCTTGTGATTTAATTATCCGTTTTTAATTAGTTTTGGTATTATTCAAACCGAACTGTAAATGATTACCATTTTTTTAAGAATCGAATATTGTACGTTCCCATTTTTTGGTTGGCATGCTTGGTGCAATAAGTCTGACAGCTGTCAAAATGTATTTCTTAGAGTGGGTTGACTATATTTTTTATAACATAATGTATGACTACCATCTGTAATTCGTAAGTTTTCTGTTATTGTAACAACTTTAGATCTATTTATTTAGCTAGGTATAATGATTTCTTATAATAACGCGAATACTAAACATTTAATAAAACATAACTTTACGGATTTTGACGCGTTTATTCAAAGTTCTAGCAATGCTATTCACATTACTAATATTCCCTGTAACCACTCAAGCTTAAAATGCTTGTGTTAGGAGTGGTTCACGACGTTCACGAGTAGTCGAATCGCGGATTAGAACCCACGACCTTTTGAGTTTGCTGTCCGCACTCTGCCATTAGGTAACTGTCGCTTTAAACATTCACATTACCATGAGCATGATTTAATCTACTAAAAATAGGTTTTATTTAACAAAATGTCAATTCCATCAATCATTTTGTTAAAAGCGTCTGTAACTCCTTCA